GAGCTTTGTAACTTTTGTTTGCAGATTTCATTTAGGTGCACTAATTATATGCATGGTGCTTACCTCTCGCTTGTTGTGCATCTCCCCACAGATGAAGTCCGATTGACTGATCTGGAGGATCCATTTTGTCTCCCAAATTTCCTTTCTCCTTTCCTCAAGCCTTCGTGTTCAGATTGGATCTGCTTGGGTCGCAGTGTTAGCCTCCCCCTCCCGTCCTTGATCTTTTTTGTTTGCCAAGTCTTATCTCTTTTTTTTGCTTTTGGTCCTTTTTTATTATATTTGTTTTTGGCTCCTTTTTTTTATGACGGACACCCATGGCCATCATTTTGGGCCTATTCTTTTTTAGTTTGGGCCTTTGTCGATTTGGAAGGGCTAAGCTTCCCATATGCTTATTTAGTATGAGGCCTATCAGTTTTTTTTAGGTATGAGTACATTGCTTTTGGTTTGGTGGGGCATTTACTTGTAACGTGTTGTTTTTTATTGTTCCCATCTTCTCGTTTTTATTCTCGATCTATTCACCTCCCCCATTTACTCCCCACCAAGGAGTTTCCCCTCTTCTCGATTCACCCGGCCATTTACTTCCCAACGAGGATTTTTTTCCTTCGCTTTCCCAATTGCATGGTAGATGACCATTTGTCTTTTCTTTTCTCCTATATATATCGCACGGCTTCTCTCCCCCATTTTCTCTGTGTGCACGGAGCCATCTCCCCATCTGCATGTAAGTTCTTTTTGAGATATGAATATTTTTTTCTTGTTTCTGTTCTTTTTTGTATCTCTTGTTTCAGTTACGAATTAACTAGGAGTTGGACGACATTTTTTGTTCTCTGTGTTTGTTGTTTTTAGTAGGAGTTAGTTTATGATTCTTCATTTCGGTCATGTTTGTGTTTTAGGTTTTATGTCTTTTTAAGTTTAGAGTTTTTTTTCAGTTTGATTATGTTCATGTTCAGGTTTAGGTATTTTTTTCTTATTTTAGTTTTCATTTTATGTTTAGGTTCAGTTTTGTTTAGCACTTCTCATTCATTAATTTGTATGTATTTTCATTTAGATGTTCATGTTCAGTTTTAGGCGATTTGTTAATTTTTGGTCTTCAGTCTTAGTGAATTTCTTCTCTGTGTTTCATTTTTTTTCAGTGTTAGTTCATTTCATGTTTAGGTTTAGGTAGTTCATTATTAGTTTCAGTTTTTTATTATTTTATGTTGTGTTGTCATTTTATTTATGTACAATGTTTAGGTTCAGCTTTTGTCTTATTTAAGTTTAGTTCAGTTTTTAGTTTACGTTTAGGTTCAGTTTTAGTAGACTGTATTAGTTTCAGTTTCAGTTCTGTTGAGTTTTAGTCGGGTAGTCTTATGATTAGTATTGAGTCTACTATATTTTTGGATCAATGAGTTTCTTGAACACTAATGTTCTAAACTTTTTTCCAGTTTTCTCAGTATCATCATCGAGAGCTATATCTCCATCGTGAAGAGCGAGGTAAGCCAATGATCTAGTTCAATTAGTGGTAAAGCAAATTTTTCCTCATTTAATTTTTTTGTTCAGGTTCATGTTTAGTTAGTTCAGTTAGTACTTCAGTTTTAGTTTCATTTTGTAGCTATTTCAGTTTTAGAATGATCCTCTTCTTAGTTCATTTTAGTTTCCTTTCCATATCGGTTTAGTTTCCCGCTTTTGAGTTACCTCTTGAGTTGAGTTCTCATTCCTAGTTAAGTTTTTTGTTAGTGTTGTCTAAGGTTAGTTCCTTTCAGTTAGGTTTCACTTTTCTCCCTCATTAGTGATATAGCAGTTTCACTTTTCTCCTCATTAGTTTATGTTTAGAGTTCAGCTTTAGTAGACCTGTGATAGTTTCCAGTTTCAGTTACATTGTTCTCACGAAAAGTGAATGCCCTGCTGCTCATAATGTTAAGTTATCTCAAATAGATGATCTTTAGTCGCATGCATGAAGGATGAAGCTCTATAGTCTCGATGTATTTTCGATCATGCAATCGCATAATTTTTGTGTTAGCTGAGTAGCTTTGTGTTTTGTCGACACGTGATATGTCAAAAAATGCGTGGGCTTGTTCTCTCGTAAATTTTCATTTCATTATTGTCCCTTTCCATTTCATTTTCCTAATGATCCTCTTTGTTCATTTAAGTTTCCTTTCCATTTCAGTTTTGTTTTAAGTCATATTTACCTCTTAGTTAAGTTTTATGTGTTAGTGTCAATACCATGGTTATAGGATTTTATGGGCTATTGGCGATGGGGGAATAATTACTGAAATTAATCTTGTTCTGTTTGGAGTAGCCGACTAGGATGTTTCTTCTCTCGCTCTTGGAGTTCGCTAAAAGATTATTGTCTAATTTTTTTTTGTCGTGTGTCTATCAACAAGTTGTTACTTGGGATATTTCAAAGTTCGCTTATGTGGACAG